GTCGCCATGAACAGAGGCAGAAGCAGAAGGATAATTTTATTGATCTTCCTTTTCATGCAATTCGCAGACCATGTCGTTTATTGGATCTTCCTTGTTTCCATGGTGAAGAACAATATTTAATAGAAATTGATACAATGGCAATATTGGCTGACAGCGCATATAATGACATTGGGAGACGTAAAGGAGTTTCGTCACACTGATATGACTTTTCCTTCAATAAAGCGGGTAAATCATTGCTCAATGAGAAAATTTTCCGCCCGAATAATAAACTTGATGGCAATAAATTAAATTTAGGACTCTTTCAGTGAGCAGGGGAATCTGTAAAATTCAATTTGATATAAATTGTAATTAGTAAACACAAGAGACAGCCTACATACTTTAATTAGAGATATAATTAAGACCGATTTTCGGGAGAAAAAGGTACAATTAATGTCTTTTTACAATGTAATTGGATACTCAATTCCAATACGCGAGCGAAGAACATTTACAAACAGTTGCAAATATTAATTGCAGTAGTAATTTTAAAATTATAGTAAATCCTTCATTTATAATTTTCAAAACAAAAATACACACAATATCCTTTCTCACGTTGCTCCAAGGAAGCTATTTTTACCTACAAAATGTACACTTGACCGCAAGCATTAAAGTTTCGTTACTTTTCAGAGACACCGCGACAGAGCACGAAATCGCAGCCAAGTGGATGAAATAATCAACGATAAAGTCGCTGGTTTATGTGTCTCAACTGTGAAGGCCAAGACGACAATTTTACCCTAAAAAAAATCCATATAGTAATTCATTGATACACTTTTGTGTCTCCACGCTAACAATCATGATCAAACTGTTACGAAATTATTTTCCCGAAAGTCGCGCACAAAAATTCCTGCCTTCGTCGAAGGTCCCTCAGACTGTGTCACCGTGTTTATAGCGCTTCATGTCGTTTTTGCCCGCTACTGTTTCGGGATAGGAGCAGATTTTTAGATAATGACGCTCAGCTCATACAATAATAATCGTAAATCAGTCTTGTTAGATTTAGAGTTTTTTCCCTGCACAACCATCGTAAAAAACCGTTTGACTCTCTTTGTGATTTATGTGGCTCAAACATCGTGCAAATGCGGAGGGAATTCGGGGAAAAACAAGTGGACTGCTATTGGCTAAGGGCGTCTTAATCCCATATAAATCCACACACTGATTGTCACTGACTTAATGTTGAGAACCACGAAAAATGCGAGATCCCTCGTTCGTCATTTCACACGTCGCGACCTTCTCGTAATTGAGTTTTCACCATCTCTCCTAGAGATAGACGTAGTCGATAAAGTGACCCAATTTTTGGCGTCTTGTAGGAAAATGTCACGCAATTTTAGTGCGAATTGCAAGTGAGAGAATTTTTCATACAAATTTTGCGGAAATTTTTCACAATTCGCAACTTTAGGACATTCAATCTCGCGAAAATGACCTAAACTTCTCAACCACGTGAATTCACCATGGGAAATTTATCGTGCTATTCGCATAGAAACAACCTGATTCGGGAGCAAAGCAGAGAAAAAATTTTGTATAGTATAGTGTTGATAAAACTTCAAATAATTCCGTGCACAACGAAATTGTTATCATCATGAATGAGCGCTGCAGCACGGGAAATGCAAAAAAAAACTCAAAAATGTTCTACACCAATTAGCACTGATAAAGAAGCGGTTTCTGCGTAGCAAAAACTTCGGATATTGTGTAACAAAACTAAGCGATTGCATTTCTATGGTTTTGTATCTAAGAGGAAAAAAACAGTCTTTATTTTATTCTCTATTATTGGGATTTCCAGTAAAGCAGCTATAAAATGACACAATAGTCTTCTTTCTGATCGCATTTACCCTATATCTCATTATCGGAGGTTGAGAGAAAAATTAAAGGTCGAAGCACTAACATTATGCTTATTGAATGTTAATGTACTAAATTCTGATGAAGAGAAAAACCTCCATAGCAAAGCTCGATACAAATAAAAAATTGATAAATTAGTCATATTCAATCCACAGATATAATTTGAGCATTGTTTTCCAATCCATTTGTTCACACTGTGCGATAGAATATGTTTTTCAACTAATGTACTGAATAGTATTAGGAAAAAGTGCCATTAATAATTTCTCCAATATTATTTAGCATTTCCAGAGAGCCAAATGGCAAGTGCCGCCGATATGTATCAAAATTTCACGTATGCGAAGACGTAGAGACGATGGTTCTCTTTTCGGTCTGTGCCAATGAATTGCTTCATGTGACAGGGTATATATTATTTGAGAGTGAGAAAATGCAAAAGAGCCAAATAAAGTGCGCAATAATGGCAAAGATTCAATCTCAGCGATGACGAGTGTGCAAGGAGCGAAGACATTGAGTGGCACTCGTAAGGAATTAATGTGCCTGACAATACGGGTTCAATGGCGAATGAGAATTATTGACAGTGCAGAGGAGACATGTCGATTAGGTCGTGCTATCAATTCCCCCACTGCAGATAAATTAATCACTGCGATAGGAATGTGCTGTATGCGGCCAAGACGGACGTCATCGGCGGGGGAAAATATGGTCACCGAAGACACGCGTCCGATGTGACGCCAGAAACCTGCAATCTTATCACTTGTCAGCGTTTTCGATGGTCAGGGAGCTTTCACGAAGCCACGCGAGAAATGCTGAAGCAGTGACTGAAGGAATTTCACAAGGTGCCCAGAAACGAACGGCCAGAATCTCGTGGTCGCCAGAATGGTGACCGCTCAGGCGAATCCGATATTATAAATATGTCCCTCTCTGTATATGTGAGTCTCCCAAAATATCCCAGGCCACAGAGATTGTTCAACAGTGCGGTCCCATCGAATGGCGGCCCGCCAAGAAATCCACCGTCCACTCGAGAGTCGCACTTTTGAAATTCGTGCTCTCCATTGTTCTCACCACTTCTCGGTGGGTTTTACTGCCCAATAATTGCCGCTCACCATATCATAAACTCGTACGACGCTTGGTCACTGATCCCGACCCCAGGCCCACCCCAAACCCCCGTCCGCCGCCCGTCCAAGGGGTTATTTGCCCAAATCACGACACCCAGCCATTCGGCAGCGACAGAGCCTCCCTCAGATCGACATTTCGGCAGTTCCCAGGTAAGCGGCAGTGCCACGGTACTCCCAGCCAAGGTCACTGTTACGACAATCGATTGAGTAATAGGCCTAGAGGTAGCGCGTGAACGCTTGGGCCAAAGGGGCGGGTAATTGGCCAAACACACGCCACCCCGTGCAGCCGGCGTGGCCCAATTTCTGAAGGCCCGCATCGGTGTTTATGTTAAAGAGGTCAGCGCAAGGGTTACACATCCAAGGGGTCTTCACGCCCCCGCTCACACTGCCTGGAACATCAGCAACCTTGAGTGATTTATTGTGCCGCCCCTATATGCTAAACTCCCCTCGTTTCTCCCAACAAACTTTGCAGTATCTGGCAACTTCTTCGGGGCTCATGTTTCTTTTCCTGCGAAGTGACGTGAGCTTGCCTCTGAACTTTCTCCCCCAATTGTTGCGGGGGAGACAATCATTGTTTTTCCTTGCTCCGCTTCGGCACGAGAAGAAGCAAGAAAAATAAAATAATATTTTCCTTCATATTTTCAGACATTGACTCTCAGGAAGCTTCAAGTATTTGCGGCATTTACTCAACATGATACAGAGGAGGATTTAGCCAAATCAATGGAGATTTTGGTCTCGTGCAAATTCATATGCATCTCAATATAATCATTATGAAATTACTTGCCAATGTAATTACTTAATGCTAATATGATTTGCACAAATTGCTCATACTCAACTACAGCTAATGAGGAGCTTTTGGGTAAACTATAGGCACTTGACTCGTGGCAAACGTTACATTAATATTTAACTTTAATGTGTGCTGAATTCTACCGTATCAGATACATTAATTTATACAGAACAAAAAAAAATCCAAAAATGGTCGTGAATGCAAATAAATTGCAACTTGCAATGTGTTGTAATTCTGTATAAATTCAGTCAATTAATTTACATGAATTTGAATTGTGTTTCACCCATAAATACGCAGCGACAAGCGGAGTCAAGTGAAATTTCGAGGGATTGAAACATATTCCATTCACGAGAGCTTCCCACCCTTTTGGGGGCCAGCGGGGTTGGACAGGGAGACCCTCGTGGGCTCGCATGTAAGTTGTGTTGAAACATTATTCAACCCGAGAGAGGCCCACGGCAAAAAATGTCGCTCTCTCTCTCTCACTCTCGTCCGCTTGTAGTTGGGAAATCTGATTCTGTTGGACGATGATGGTGTCTGCATAAATAAAGCGCAGATGAAAATGTGGATTAGTGGAGAGATTTTCGGTGGCACAAACTTTTATCCACCCAGAAATTTAATAACACAGATCACCTATTCAAGAGGGACTGCATGCATGCGCCTAAAATGTCCACACACAGTGCAGCCCCGAGGAGAATGCTCCCGAAATGCAATTTCCCCTCGTTGAAATAGTCACACAAAATGCTGGCAAAGTTGTTATCTCAATTTCAGAAGAGGTCGCAAATAATTTTCGGCGCTCTGTGCGCTCAAAAGAGGCATTTTATGTCGTGAACATTGCAAATTCTGATGAATGACTATGCGATGCGAATTGAAAAACAAAACAGGAAAAACCACTCATTTGCAGATGGAAAATGTAAAGAGCAAGTATGCTTATTGAAATATAATTATGAAGAATTTATTAAGAAAACATTTTGCAATCACAGTGCTGAAGTCATCAAGGTTAGTCTCAATTTAATTAAATCGTTTACCCAACTCAATGGACATATAGAGAAAAGACACGGTATATTCCGAAGGTTTTGCGATATCTAACTTGGGTCAAGTTCAAAGCAACTGTGAAGAAGTCTTATTACCAAGAGTGACTCTTGTGTATCACGTGGTGTTTTTCATCTTAGCTTCTAATTAGGAAATCCTGTGCGAGAGCTTTCGGCTGAGAGAATGTAAAAAGTAATGGAAGGACTCACTCAATTTCGTTGTTGTCAAACTCCAGCTCTCCTTGAAGGGGTTCATAGTCCTTTCCCGCCTTGGCGGTTCCGTCCTCCGCCCAGTACGGCACGATCACTTTTCCGCGCGCGCCCGAGAAGCGCTGCACTTTGATCTCGTACGTGCCCACGGACTCAACGACTTCGTGATCTTTGGAGCTGAACGCGAAGATGCCACCGTGATCGTCATCGAGGATCATAACGGTGGCGACTTTGGGTGTTGCGAGAATGGCCGGGTCGGAGACATTACTGAGGCGCACATAGAAGTGTTCATCCTGCTCGAACACCTCGTCGTCGATTACTTCAATGGAGAAGCGCTGCTCATCGACTCCGGGCGCGAATGTCAGTGTTCCCTTCTTTCCCACGTAGTCGCTGCCCGCCTCGGCGGACCCGTCCTCCGTCTCGAAATCGACAGTAATGTGACACGAAAGATCTCCGCGGCGCACGACACGCACCTCAAACTCCCCGCAGTTCTCCATGACAGTGTAGTGGCCAGGTTCGAAGAACACCTTGCAGATGTTGTCGTCGTCCACCTCGTCGATGTCCACGCGCTGCAGCTCGGCCTTCACCTCGCTGAGGTCGCTCTGCGCGCGTTCGGAGATCTTCCGCATAATATTACCGCTACCCATCATCTTGCGGGTAGCTTGAATGCGATAGAATGCCCGAGACTTGGGTCCGCGATTCATCAGCTGCTCCTGCGCCATCACCTCCAGGTTCTCCAGGTCGTGCTGCGGATACTTCTTCCGCAGATCCTTCAGCGTGGATATGTACTCGCGACGCGCCTCCTCGAAGTCATTGATCTCCTGCGACACGTCGCCATTCTCCTCCAACACCTTGAGACCATCCTCGCGATTGTTCATCTCTAGGCCCGCATCACCCTCAACCTGGACTATCACACCGCGCTTATTCATGCGATACTGCTTCCCGATGTACTTATAGATCAGGAGACGTTTGTCAGCAATATAGGCCGTGAGCACGGTGGCAGGGAAGAAGAGGAACGTGAGGAAGCCCTCCCACACATCCACGCGGCCCGGTGTGACTTGGGCCAGGATCAGGTAGAGCCAAATGTACGCGAACACCGACCACGTGGCCGTCACGAAGAATACACGCAAGTGCTTGATCTTGCGCACTTCCCCCTTGGGGATCACCATCACGCAGATGGCAATGATCACGAAGAGGTTGTACGCGGCTGAGCCCACGATGGTGCCGGGTCCCAGGTCGCCCGCCTTGAAGTTCTTCGCGATGATCTCAATGATGGACAGCAGGATCTCCGGGGCGCTCGAGCCGAGGGCCATCAGGGTGAGATTGGCCACAGTCTCGTTCCACACGCGCACCACCACGATCTGCGTCTCGCCGTCGGGCTTGCGGATCTTCACCTCCTTCTCCTTGGACGTGATCACCTCGATGGCCGCCATGAAGCGGTCACTCACTATCGACACGCCGATAAAGAGGTAGATCATCACGAGGAAGTACACGAGACCGCGTGAGAAGCGATCGCCGAACGTGAGATTGCTCGTCGGCTGCCACACGGGCACGAGCAGTCCATCTTCGCACTCACTGTCGCTGCTCTCCACGGTGGCATTGTTGTCAGCCGCCGCCACGGCCGCGATTGCCACGCACAGAAGCACTACCGCGTTCCGCATGGTGGCTCTATTCCGCCAAAATCAGTACACACAATACAAATACACCCTGTAGACCTGCAGGGGCGGCGAGGATCACTCGCGATCTCTTGTCAGCTCGGCGATCTTGAGCGCTGCGCGCTTGTTGTGACGACGGCGGTGATTGAGAGTGATTGAGAAGAGGTCGGCGATCAACACCCAATTTCGCCTCACACACGCACACACTGTTCTCTCTCGCCCTCCCACGACCTCGCGATCACTGGTCGATTGATTGTTTGGCCGCCCAGTCGAGAGCGGATGCTGGATGTGGAGATTAACTCACTGATAACGCGCGATGGGCCCAGGAAGCTGGGCCAAGAGTTCCATATTTAGGTGCACCAACACACAAAAATAGATCGCGATCGCGCCTCTGCAACTGATGCGTTCCCTCCGATCACACACCACAGATTTCGCACCGCACACCGTACAAATTCAATCTCTCACTCTTTCTCGCTATCTCGCCTTGGTGCGTGGAGCACGCAGAGCGCGAATCCCTCAATGGAGAATGTCTCCGGTGAAAATTTTCCAATCAACTTCGCACACAAACCGTGTTTGGAAAAGCGGCTTGATCGACGCGCTCTTTTTGACACACTTCAATCCAGCGACCTTATTCACTATGCCGATATACTGGGTGGCTTCCTCACGGGTTATCTCTCGTGCAATGTTTGAGAATGCTATAAATACAGTCGAAGCTATTTTCACCTTGTCCACTAAAAATAATCCCCGTTTCGCGAAAGCGCGCGCTCCTCAGCGTGAAGACAAATGACAACAGCTGATCACGATCATCGATCACACTCACGCCCCGTCAGCGATCCTCTCCTGCGCCCAGTGCATCATCAACTGGGTCTCAAGGTGTTCTCCAGTCCCACACTTTGGCAAGACTGTCTTATCAGGCCGCTCTAATCGGTCACCACACGCACGACTTGAGTATTCCCGATCGAGTCACACTCCTTTACTGTGATTCTCAACTCCCCATTCACCAAACTATTATCGGCCCGTTTTACCACAGCCGTCTTGCTCGGTGGCTATTTTTAGCCCCATCTCGCGCGCTCTTCACACACGGATTCCTCGCCCAACCTCGCACTGCACACCCTCGGGTGGCACAGCCCAAGTCCTTCACTCTGTGGCAGGATGCGTCGAGACTCCAGCCGATCACTCCACACCACGTGCTGCGATCACCGCGCTTCACACCTGCGGCCTATTTATAACTGAGCTCCCGCGACCGCGGAGAGACTGTGCCTCGTGCTCGATCCTCCTGACCGTGGGGCGGCAGGGACCTGAACTCCAGGGCGGATTTGCAGTTCCTATTGTCCCGCGAGAGGAGGCGTGGCGGAAGAGAGGACCAGAACAGGACCAGAAGAGAGGTGCCTCAGGCTAAGAATATAACCGAACACCGCGCACCGTCGCGATCGAGTTGAACTGACTCTCCCGACTGACTGCTAACTCGCGAGCCCGACCGTTCGCGACTGAGGCGACGCCAGAACCTCCACGCGCGCCAAGGTGTGCCTCCAGAGCCCCGTCGACTTGGGTGCACCTTGTGGGCGCCACAGCAGGAGGGTAAAAAACAGAACTGGGGAGAACTGTGCCGTGAAGCAGAGAGACAGACGTCGCGATGCGCTCTCGTCGTCGAGTCGACTGATGGGCGCACCGTCGCGGATGGGTGAAGTTCGCGCAAATTTGAGACACAGAGAGAGGCCAGTTCTTTTCCCTCATCACATTTCACTCTCAGAGAACGCGCTGAGAGCGCTCTTGCGATTGCATGCGAATTCAGATGTGCCCGAGAGCGCGCATTCGCACTCTCAGTGCGCCTCTCTCGGCCAATTCGCTCTCTCGCCTCTCACTCTCTCTCTCTCTCTCTCTCACATTCTATGACTCTGGAGGGAGAAACACGACACTTCAGCAGAGACACCCACCCTTCGGAGAGATCTCTTATCTTACTGTAGAATCTCTTAAAAGATGTGTTTTCCGAACAAGAGTGAAACAACCCTTGGTGTACTCACACTTGTATTCCTTCGAAGGAGTTGAAATCTTCAAAATAAAACAACGTTTTTAATTTAAGATTTTTTTTTATTAACACGTAATGTTTACAGCTCTATAACCGACATATTAGAAATGCGTGAACAAAATTTTGGGTGACCTAATCGATTTTTCTCCATTTTTTTCTCTCCTTGAAAATTGTAAATGTAGTAAATTTTTTTTTCACTTTACCGCATATTTCAAACACTTAAATCTTGTTCTTTAGCGACATGTTTGTCACTACACTTTTAGCTTTTTGCTGAGTGCTGTCTTTCTATGCTTTTCTGACTCCCATTTTCATCGCGGGTGGTGCAATTGCATAATTTTCACTATTATACATAGTTGTAATTAAATGGTAAGATGTATAATAAATTTGTAAAGTTCTTCAGCCACTTGAGAGTCATCGTCTCTCAGCTAAAATTGTTTCGTAATGTAGTAAAATATAGCGCTTCAATTCTTCTATATCATCAATTTTTTATTTTTTCATCTTCAATTTTACCTTCTTTTCTAGTGGAGACGAAAGTGGGAGTACAAAGAAAATGAAAGAATTCAGGAAATTTCTGCAGAGCAAGTATTATTAATTATAATTACCTACTCTAGAACACCCTTTAGTTTAGTCATTTCTGCCTTCTCTTAGCTCTTACGCGGTGTGTCTCTAACTAAGATGATACAACTAATAGTAATCAAGAAGTATTACTTGCGTTTCATTCACTTTCCTTTTAATAATTACTATGGTGACGTTATATTTACAATTATCAATGGCGACTTCTTACTTTATTCATTGGATATTAACATTCACTCTTTTACTCGCTGGTCTCCTTACCACATCTCTTCGATTCAGTGTTTTTTTTTTAAGATTTTACATCACTCTTCGGCGCCGTTTCGTCACTGCTGTTTAGTTTCTCTAATTGGCTGTAAAGAATCCTAATTATTGATGTTGTACCGGAAATAAAAAGCTCTTTTTACTCAAAAACCCAAAAGCTCTCTTGCTTGCAATGAAGACACAAGTCAATAATGATAACGACACAGTTTTGTCTACGTGACTAACCTACAATAGCTAAGATCTGTGGATTTATTTTACTTTTTCAATTTCTTGATTTTTTTTAACGAGGTTTTCATTTCGCTTTCAGTAACTTTTCCGCTCCTTTCTTACGTCGTTTTCTAGATATTTTTTTTGTCTTGCAGAAAATAGAAAATGTTCATTCTTTTTGGGGCACAATCGTTTGTGAAATACTCAGAAAATACCGTACAATTTCAAATATTTGAAAATTCATTTAGCTGTCACTGTGACAGTAAATTGATCGTTGAAAAATATTCATATGTCGTTTTCTCCGAATATTTTACAAACTGTGCCTGCTGACTTCACTAGTTCGTTACACGACACTTCAATCTGTCATTTTATATTTTAAAAATATCTGCCAGAGTAGAAAAATCAACCATTAGCCATCGTGTGTTTCGTTTTTAGACAGTTTTCACTGAATACTTTTCTTTGAGCAATGTGTTTGTTTGTTTCAAGAAATTCAACTGGAGAATTACAGGCGGACAACTGACAACCAAAAACAGGTAGTAAATTGTCAAAAATGAAAACAAGAATGTTTGATCTTGTTGAAATCTTTTATTGATCTGTAAGAGTTTTTTTCATGTCCATAAAATCTTTTTTTTTATTCTGTCTTGAGACCATCTAAAGTCTCATTTGGAATTTCTCTAGCTTTTAAAATAAAGCTAATTAACACTTTTCTTTTCTCTGCAAATGGTTTAACACTTGTTTTTTTTTTATAATTTCATTTACTTTTTCTTTAAATTTTTTTTTATATTCTTCTGACGAGGAAAATATGTCAAACAACTATTCTCGTGTGTTTTCTTATGTGAATTTTGTGAATCTCTGAAGCAAACAAACAAAATTGCAATTAAATGTCTGAAATTATTCTCGCATTTGTCATCTCTTGAATCTAAAACAGCTCTTGACATTCTCATCACTTGACGCGTGTTTGTGTATCTTTTGAGGTGTGTTCTCATTGTTGTCACATGTGAAAATTGTCTAAAAGATGGCTGAAGCGCAATTTTTATGTTTTTAATTTATTATTTACTTCTCATTAAATTATTTAATATTTCATTTATATAGCTGTATATATAGGTTTCATCTTGTTTTTTTTTTCTTCATCATTATTTAGCTTAGGTCCTAGGCCTAAATACAATTTATTATTATTTCTCTCTTCTTACACCTTGTGCCTTCTACGGATGTGATTTTATACTTTTCCACTTCACATTAAAACGTTCACATACGACTGTTTTTATTTCTTTCTTAAATTTCATATCGGCAGTAAGCCTATCTCGTGTTCTATTCCATCATGGTTTCATCTGTTTTGTTTCTCTTCTTTTTTTTCTTTAATGTAATAATAATAGAATTATTTGTTTCTCATCTTCAAATTTCCTTCATTTCCATTTTTTTTTAAATCTAATAATTATTAATTTTAATATCTACTAGATTTTTTCTCCATTTTAAAAATGTTTTTTTTGTCCTCACCTCTATATATATTTTTCATCATTTTTTATAATTATTATTCTCTCTTTTTTCATCATTATTCTCTCTATAATTAATAATTCTTTGCAAACAAAAATACAGTTCTATTTAATTCCTTTCTTTTTCTCACTTATTCATTATAATATTAAACATAATTAATAGTAACATAATTATATTTATTCAATTTTTCTTGAAGTCCGGCTGATCTCAATAAAATTGTTTTCTTTTTTCATCTCGTTTTATTCATCAAAAATTCTATTTTCTTTTCTTTAAATATAATACTATATAGTTCTTTCTGTGTGCCGCGCTCCGCATATGACGAACTGATAACTGAAAAGAAAACTTTCACAAGAGATCCCAAGTTGATCTTGTGGAACTCTTGATTGAACACCTTTTTCTTAAAACAAAGAAAAAACACATTTACGAAATGAAAAAAAAAATTAATAATGCTTGTCAATAGAGAATTTGAAAAACGAAGAACATGTCTTGTGACTGCCTAATTATCTCTTCACATTCACTTAACAGCATGTACGTTTTAGTTCTTTTTTTAATTTACATTGAAATCAGGCCAATTTATAAGATGTACTTTGTCATTTTCCTCATCACTTATACTAAAAAAAAAGACATTATTCCTTTCGCCTATTTACTGCTTCAATAGGACTTTCTCGTCAGCAACAACACAATTTAATTCATAAAATTTTTACTACTATTACACTCTATAAGCTTTCTCACCGATTTTGACAAAAAAAATTAAATTAAATTTATTTTATCCACTCTCTTTGTGTGTCGAGAAAAATTTTGAGAAATGTCTGTTATCGCAATTATTTTTTTATATTCCTAAAAAAAAGTGGGAATAAACACAGAAAAGAAATTTACAATCTTAACAATTAGCATTAAAAAATGAAATATTAATCATAATAATTAAACAACAACGATCAGGCAGTATTTTTGTATCCTTATGATTTGTATCATGTTTTCTTCAATCTGCATTTCACGCTATCCATTCTCTAATTTGAGTGCCTGTCCCGGAACTTCATTCCAAAAAAATGAGTGGGAATTTGAAATTGTTGACAATTCGTGAAGAATGTTACTAAATACCTCCCGAAAAATTTACAGACACTGAAGAGAATATGAGATAAAGAGTGTAAAATAATAATTCAATTTCACCATTTCTTTTTATTCAATAATATAGGGTTATATGACAATAAAAAATAAGACAAAAATCAATGAGGATGAACAGAAGAAAACATTTTATCCCAAAAAAAGATAATCCTGTCTTTTTGCGATATTTATCCTTTTTTTCACTTTCAGAGTAAATTTTATCATGCTTTCAATAAATAATTACTATAAAATAAATGATTTTTCTTTCTCAATTGCATTACAGATTTTCTTCCTTGCATTTCATGCAAGAAACAACTTTTTCTTTTTTTTTAACCAATATTCTCTGTTGTTTTCATCTTTCCCTCATTCACAATTAAATATTCTTCACGGTGGTTGGCTTCTGATGATCCTCTTGCACGAAAATCAATTTCTACAACTCTATACAATTACAACTTGCCATATTTCTCCAGTTATTATTATCATTTTGCATATCTCAACTTCTCTCTTGTCTTTAATAAAAATATATATATAATATGAGAAAAAGGATTGTAGTATTGACGAACTAAAATTTTGCTGCCTTAAATTTCATCTCCTTACCGCCATTTTTTTCTTCTTCTTTTACTTTAAATCTATAATTTAAATCTGAATTTCTTGCTTGCTTCTTATCATTTTTTTTATCTCTTTCTAATATAACTCTTCTTCTCACTTCAATTATATTATTTACTTTCCATTCAATCTTTCTATATAGAGTGTTGAAAATGAGGCTTTCGCGAAAACCAAAGTTGAAAACAGCATTTCTGATGGTGTGTCTTCTTGTTGTGTTGTGTGTTTTCATTTGCTCTTCACGCTTAAGTTTCTTTTTTTCTTCTTTTGTATTTTAACAGAAAGATGAGAAAGTAATCGTTTCTTTTTTTTCACTAATAGCTTTTGCATCTCTTTTTTTTCCTCCACTTTTTCTCTTTTGCTTCGAATGTGTAGCAACTGCTAATTTCTTTAATAGTAAGTTTCCTGCTCCAACCAGCCGCCAGGATTGCGACGCAAGTAGAATCGACGCGTCTCATCGTAAATGAAGATGGCCAACATGAAGGGCAGAGCTGGAAGCCACCACACGAATCTGCAAGCAGAGCAATAGTGTTAGAACATAGTCTCAAGAATCTCCATCTTCTTTCTCTTCTTCCGTTCTTCTTGATATTTGCCAACACACGTTCTTGGTACAAAGTGGCAGATGAAACTGCGTTGCGTGACTTACTTGAGTGGGAACATTCGGAGACCCTTATCCATTCCCGGGCAGTATGACAGGAAGGCGGCGAGTGCCGTCTCGAACACGAGGCCAAAGTTGAGGGCCCAATTGCGCATTCCCTGATGCACGATTGAATTGCGGCGGGTCTTGCAGATGATCAAATCAGCCCATTGCACCACCACGATGGACACGAAGAAAGCTGTATGGCATGTGAACTCGAGTGTCTTGCGATCGCGATAGGTCTGTACGATAAAAAAAAACAAGAGTAAGAGAACATAAAATCATGCCACACAATTTGCACGCAACTGCAAAAGGAAAAAGAAAACTCACCCATTCTTGACCATAGGAATCAGTCAAATCATTGACAGCCTTCGAATCCCACATCTTTCGGATGCCAAACAATTTCTGCGGCAAGAATCCATTCTCAGCCATGATCACAAAGTACACGAAGAATCCAGCAGCTGCCTGAATCATACCAATTTGACCGTATGCCATTGAGATCAACCTAGATTTGACGAGATTTGCATCATATTACAATACTGTCACTTGACTCTCCACAGAAAATCTCATTTTTACACCATTTCATTGAGATATTCTCAAATGTTATATAATTACAAAAAGTTGAATTTATTTGTGTCATATTTCATCAATTATTTTTTTTTCTCTTTCCTTTTTAACACTTCATATTTTGTACCAATTTTATACTCCAATTTAGAGTTCACAAATAAATTCATGTGAATTAATTATGGAATTATGTTACAAGTTAAGCATGCAATCAAATTGATTATTTTTTCCGTGAGTAAATAAGTAAATTAACAGGGATATTATTTACAAAATATATATATACATACATTAAGATTCTTTTAAAAGCCATTGCCAAGCAATATACAGAAAAAACATGACCAAGAAGCTTATTTTTACATGGTAAAAACTTACGATTCTCTCAGTTGCTCTTTCCCAACAGTTTACCTTCTTTCATACTCATATATTTTCTTCTATGGTATTAATTTAATTAGCTTGATTAAATGCTTCTGTTTTAAATTACTCTCAATTAGTGTCAAAAAATATAAATTCTTTTCTTTTTAGGGAATAATATGTGATGGTGTTCGTGTGGAATGTGAAAAGAAATTGTATGTAAAGTGTGTGTGTTTCAGAATGTCGTGCATGTGTTCATTTTCTCAACTAATTTTGTCATTAAATTACATATTGATTCATGTATAGAAAAGTGTGACACAACAATCGCTTTAACACTCTTTAGAAAAAGTTTTAGGTAGATTTCCATTTTTGTTTTTTCATCATAATGTGACAAGATTTTTAAGGTATAAGCATTTTAGTGTAGATTTCCTTTGGACTTTGTACAAGAAACTTAACAATCATATACCATAAGAGAGACTGGCACATCATTTACAGACTAAAAAGCACAGTAATTTCGTAACCTTCGAAAATTGATGAATACATTTCTCTCACAACACATAATTTTCCATCATATCACACGGTATTTTCTTCTAAAATCGTTTGTTATCGTATTTGAACAAGAGCAAACATCTTGAGAGAAATATATTCTATCAAATTTATTTATTTTCTGTCTATGATAGAAAATTACAATGAAGAAACATCTAAAAAGTTTTATTTGCTTTACGAAACATCAGAATTTTCTTTAAAAAAAATACTCTAAAACCAAAACAGTTCCGAAAATACATTTAAAGCCAGATTTTCTCTACGAAAAAATCTCATTTTGCCAGCATCAGAATTCCTATGATGATCCACTACAATACTAACTCTCTACTGCTCAGAAATAATATTAAAAGAAATTGAAAATTGTTTTTGGAAATTGCAGGGGTGAAGACGCAACAACCATTCCCATTGTCAATATAACGGTTTTTGCTCTTTCAATAACTCTTCTTGAACGATATTGCAGTTGTAAACGGATATATTTATGAAATAATTGCGGTATTTAGTCTCGAAAAGGAAAAGAAAATGAAATAAAAAACGAACAAAGATAGGGAAAAACAGTAAAAGCACATTTATAGTTAAGAATTTTCATGTTCCTTCCAAGAAAAGACTTTCGGGCAATCAATAAGGGTGTAAAGGTGAGTATATTGAAAAATTTTACAACATTGAAATTTTGTACTTTATCCAACAAATCAAATTATATACGAGTGGAGATAACCAATGGGACACAATGAAAACAAGACAAATTAAACATATTAAACCAATCGAATCGTTCAGATTTGCCAATTGTGTGTGTTTTGTACAGATTTTGTGAGTTGAAATTTCTAATTTAAAACCCAAACGACTCAATAAGTTTTGTAATATTCATATATACGTATATATATATATATGTGGGAAACTGAGTTTACGACAAAAATACATAACAAAAAAACCAATTGAAAATGACTTTATTTCATTCACAAAAACAAAATCCGGAAGTATTTTGTCAATTGGTCCGTCTAATATTTCACGAATGAAAAAAAAAACCAAACCTCTCAAAAGCTTTGGGACAACTCAAAATCAAACTAGGCGGCAAAAGAAAATTTTCCAAAAAAAATATCTCTTCTAAAGTCATTTTCCTTTGAATTAAAACCTTTTTCATTTCATCTCATATAAAATTTCAATTTTTTCTTTTTTGTTCTTTTCAATATATGAAACGAAAATTATTAGGAACGAATATTTCATAAAACAAAGATATATATATGGAAAAAATTGTTCTGTTCATTGGTTCAATAAAAGGCACAACTACCACCAGATCCCGAGGACAAAATTCTGACCTGCGATTGACCAAGTTGTCGCGGTACGGATCTCTGGGTTGCCTTTTCATAATGTCACTCTCGGGCGCTTCGTAAGCTAATGAAATGGCCGGCACCTTTGCAATTATCAACATTAAAGTTCAGCGGGTTAAAAATACAAACAGAGAAAGAGAAGAAGAGAAGAAAGCATAGTGTTACAGATGAGACAAAATCAATGATCCTTTGGATTTTTTTTTCTGTTATCATTTCTTACTATTTAGTCATTTATGAGAAGTGAGAGAGGAGAGATTAGATAAAAAATTGGCAATGGAAATAAATTGCATTGTTTTGAAGATCTCAGTTGAGCTTTTCTCATACGTAAACTCACTCAAAAATGTTACAAAAATTTTTTTTTGTCTTTTAATTTGGAAAAAAAACAACGAAAGTCACAGAGATTAGTAAAAGTAATCAGTCTCTGAACCAAACAAATTAAAAAAAAATATATATATATAAATATCCATTCTTGAAATTCTGATTGTAATTCAAAACTCGGCAAAATTTTTAAAATTGGAATAAACAGACAAACTTAAAAGAAATATATTGACGCATTAGCCAAAAAATGGGTGAAATGATATTTTGGTGATGATAATATTCTTATTACAAAAAAGTTCCAAATCACACTTTGTGGATGATCACTGAAAAAGCAAATTGACGTAAAAGAAATTTGTAGACAAGACATTTACCATTATCTTACTAGAAATCAGTTATAGATGTTAAAGAAGTATTAAACTACCAATTAAGAACTAGAATATCTAAATGCATAGCAAAATCCGCAAAGTCCCATACACAATCTTGTTTTTCCTCCTTATTTTTCCTCCCCATTCTTTTTTTTTTTCTTACTCGTATTGTTTCATTTTTTTCTTTTGTTTTCTCTCGAGAAATGTGCTTCTTTTTTGTGTATAATCTTATTCATTAACTATTTATTATCATGATGATTGAATCGTTAAATTGTAAACGCAAAAATTAAAAAATTTACATTAACTAATAAATAAATAAGCAACGAATTTTTACGCAAAATTTACAAGCCAATATTTCACAATTTTTTTTGTACATAAAACTTTACAAATCCTCAATTTTTGTATCAATATATATTGTTTTCATTGCATATTTCATGTGCATTAATGTAAATTTTCCGTAATTTATCATCTTCACAACTCTGCTATTTTGTACAATTCTACCACTATTATAGTAATGTAATTTCTTCATTGTACTTTCGTCAGTTTTCATCTTCATTTGCATCTTCAGGTTTGGGACTCTAGCATCCCAGAAAACGAGTTTCCCTGAGAAACAGAGATTATTCTAAAAGAAATTCGTCATTCAGAAAACCAAAAGTCAACTACGGAAAGTGATCTAGTTAGAAAAAATGTTGTGTTTTACTGTTATGTCTTCTTCTTTAATCATCTTTCGTAACTTCACCACTAAATATAAGAGGGGAGAAACAAATTTAAATAAATAGACTATAGGGAAAATCTAACTAGAATCTCTAATAGATTCATCAAAATGATTTATGTGAAAAAATTATTTGTGACTCTTTAAAGTTGTGATTCAATGTTGGCACTCAATAGATTAGACACTAATTCAGGAATAGAATCAGGAAATTTTCTAGTAACACATTTAAGAAATGCCTAAAATGAAAACTCGATGAAACTTTAACTAGATAACTTCGTGATGCAATTCCTGCTTTTCCACCAGTGTTGCTAATATTTATTGAAGAGAAAAATCAATTTTAAAGTGAACCAACTTCAGTGATTGAGGCACAACCAATAAAAAAATATAAAGGACAATGTCTAAAAATGTTTTCAGGAGGATGTATCAATGAGTTAATGAGAAGATGTGTTTCATAAACTGCGATGTAAACATATTAGAATAAATATATCAAATTTAATTATAAAAAATACAGATTTTGTACTTTTCAACTGCATTTGATGATACCATTGTACGAAAGAGAGAGAGAGAGAGAGATAAAGTAGAAAATCGTCGAAAATGGCACTTACCTTCTAAGGCAATTTAGGAAATTATGTATATCAATGTAAAAATGAATTTATAAAATGTGAGTATAGAAAATGCGTTTCTCGTTGCAGTTACGGATAAATGTGTTTAATTTTGTTGGGAAAAAGAACACATCCAATTAATGTGAAAAGTCTGTAGCGTGTCATTTGATTAGAGTGGGAAAAGAATAAAAAAATATGTCGTGAAAATGTTATTATCGTGAAGTTAGCTTGTGAAGTTCTTGCAGCATTTTGGTTTGGCCGAGTTGGGAGACTTTTTTTTTATAGTTATAGACACATAGATTTATGACTACAAATATTCTCACATTTTGTTCGAAAATTACAAAAATAAAAAGAATAACACACTCTTCACTGGACTTAAATGAAAATTATAAAAAGTAATCTACAAAACTTTTCGTTCTTGTTTCAGTTTACTTCTAAGACTGTTTGTATTCAAATTCTCAAGGAAGAAAACCACTTAGTCAACTATTAGATAGACAGATAGAGAGGAAAATAGAAAAGACAGAGATTTAGAGATAGATGTTTTGCTTATAACTAAAAATAATAATAATAGAAAGGAGTAAAAATGGAGCTAGTGATATTTTGAAGAAATAACAGCCGAATATTTCACATTTAACCTCACTTTGAATCATCCAACAAATTAAGGTAAGTTTAATTCTTTCTCTTTGAAACAACAATTCGTCTGCTTTCAAACAAAATACCAAAGGCCAATAGATTTTTTTCAGATATTTTTATATAATATCAATCCAAATAGAATTGTGCCAATTAATACTGTTGCTCTTCTAAACTAAAGATTTATTAATGGCTAAACTGAAAGATAGAGATTGAAAGTTTGCACACAAATAATATTTTCATAATACACCATTCTTTTTATAATCATTTGTCTTCGAAAACTTTGCGAATGCTTCATCACAATGACCTAAAATTTGATTTACGTTACGTTACGTTTATCACAACACTCATTTGCAGACAGAATTTCAGAAAATATAAAGAAGTTCAAAGCATAATATGAACAAAACATTTTTACAAAAAACTCTTGACGCTGTACAAGTATTCATTTTTTTTTACACACGAAGAAACAAATAATTGTAAAAGAAAGAAATGTATTGAAAATATTAAAAGCTTGAAGAGAGAAAAGAAATAGCATATCACACTAAACAACGTCGACCGCAGACCATCGCGTATACAGGAAAAGTATAAGAAAGTAAAAGAGAATATAAAACAGAAGATAACATAACCAAAACTTTACATCTTCTGTACAATCAATGGTACAAAAAAAAAGATAGAAAGTAAAAACAATATAAGAAAAACTAAATATTTGCACTCTTGCTTCATCCACAGATAGAAAATATAAATAAAATAGGAAGGTTAAATAAAGAGATAGAGAAGTTATCAAATTTGATTGCAATTTCTTGACTGGTTTTTGTTTGCTTTCTAAATTATACTCTTTCCAAAATGTAGCACAAAATTGCAACATTTTCAACTTTTTGCGTTTTTTTTTTTCATTGGCTGTCTTTTGTGTGTTCTGTATAGGGCATTCTTTACCTCTCATTCACCAGCTTGTCGGTGAAGGGATTCCTCGGTTGTCTTTTCATAATATCAGATTCGGCTTCCTCATATGCTAACGAAATAGCTGGGACCTATATTGACACAACATCACGCTCACATTTTAGTTTACACATCATCAATGATATTTTTTTTTGATAAATAAAAACAAATTGCTCTTCAAATCATATATAGAAATAAAACTAAGATATCTGATGAATGATTTCTCTTTTGTCGGTGGAATTCATGGACGGATTTCAGGGAGAAAAATGATCAGGAGGGAGAGAAAGAGGGAAATAACCATCTCATGACTTTCGATTGTTCCTTACCTAAGATAAATGATCTTTCATGTACCAAAATATGAGTGACAATGAGGGATATGATATACTTATCATCGTGCAATATCTTAAATTTAAAATAATATACCATGACAAATGGGAGATACTCAAAAGATAAATATCCTTTCTTGTGATCAATGATATGATATTATTCATTCTAGAGGGGGAGGCCAAAAGAAATGTTTTCCGTGGATTAAATTAAATTAAGTGGGAAATAGAAAAATATAACAAACGAATTTCTTCATTTCTTGTCCACTTTTCTCGACGCTCTTGTGTGTAAATTGTTTTAGATGAAAAGTGTCTGAATCTGTGTGTTTTGTCGTCTTTCTCCTGAGAAAAACATTGCAATGTGTTTTCGTGTTTTCCCTATTTTTTTTTCTTCCAAGTTTAGTCTCATAAATCCTAAGGTTAACTTGCTCTTTCATCCTTACTCACAACATCTAGCAATGATATTATTTGGATTACTTAATGATGACTCTCGTCAAAATGTTCACACTTAAAAGTTAAATTCATAGATGATTGCTGTTGTTTTTAGTTATTTTGTTATAGCGTTTTTTCTTGCCTTGCATTTCCCACTCTTAAAGCTTCAATGAATATTCACCCATTTGATTAGTAAACACAACTATCTAGAAAAACTATGTCATTTTTTTCGCTATCAAAGCACACAATTCAAACCGATTTCTTCTCATTATTTGATTAATAAATTTTTTTCTTAAAGAAATTTCCAGGTGTTAAAGTCAATTATTTGCTTTGTTAAAACCTTTTGCTGCCCAAATATTAAATTAACTAAATTAGAAAAATAAATAGAAGTCAACGAAAAGAAATAAAAAGTGCACCTGGAATTTACTAATTTATCGTTGAATGGATCTCGTGGTGGTCTTTTCATAATATCCGCTTCCGCAGCTTCATAGGCCAAAGAAATGGCCGGTACCTACATACACAAATTTGCAATGATTGGAACATCATCAGTTGTCACATTAATTAACTTCAACACTTGTTCTCTTCTGCAAATTCGAGGGTATCATAAATATGAACGAAGAATGATTGTGATTTATATAAACATACTGAAAATTCTGAATTATATTTGCTTAATAGACAATGAAACGTACCTTCATCATCATTGCCTAATATTAATCAAACGTTGCTAAGAATAATCTCCTTCTTACCCACGGCAGAAAATGTATATAAAATGCAACATCTATCTACATATATATATATTATATATTGTATAAAAATGTTTGTAAGAAAAACTTTTCCGCAATTCCTATGTCATGTTTGTAAACTTTCTCACATTTATCAATTTCCCATTAATCACATGGATTTTAATTCCGAATTACTAAAAATTCTCGGCTACAAACATAGCATAGAAAGATAGAAAATCACATATTTTCATTAAAGTTTCATCTACATTCTTCAAGTGAAGATTATGAAATATTCAATAGCAATCAGTATTATGAGAAAAGGAAATAGAGTAATAAATTTTAATTGCCATTTCCGAGACAGTATGGCACGCCATAAATAGCCATTCACATTGAGCTTTCACTGATTGCAAGAATTTCAACGATTCTCTTTACTAGTGTGATATTCATTGTTTTCCATGTCAAAATAATAATCATCAAAATCACAGCCAATTTTTGCGAATCATCTTTTTCTCAATCACACTAATAATATAATAATTGTTTCTCTTACTGAAAGACATTTGCAATAAAAAAAAAACATTATGATTTCCATTCCTCATTTTGAGAAAAATTAAAAATTCTACGTGAAATATATAAAGATTTGGTAAATATTTGCTGAGAAGAAAAAAAGATATGTATAAAATCTTGCATGGCGATTCGAGAGCTATTATTTGTAATATATTTTTTTCTCATTCTGCTGTGACAAAAGTGCCCTTTACCTCTCATTGACGAGTTTATCAGAGTAGGGATTTCGGGGGCGCCTTTTCATTATATCAGATTCTGACTCTTCATAAGCTAGAGATATGGCTGGAACCTAAATTGCCACAATTATACAGGTTATCATTTGAAATATATAAGTTTCACAAATCAATTGGTTAAATAGCAATATGAAAAGATATTCGCCTGCATCGCAATTCCTATAAAAATCAAAACACCTCAAAGGTTTCCTGAAAAAACTCCTCCCTTTTCCCTCCCCCTAATATATTTCCTAATTTCCATTCTCTCCGCAAATTTCATCGGAATTTTCAACCGCCAGGGAGTTCAAAAATGATGAAAAACGTCATATTACAATAGAAATTCCTTCAGATCGAAGGAAAATCCACACCCCAAATCGGGGATGATAGATAACTTATAAGAAAAAAATATGGTAAATAATAGTGGTGGAAAAACATTAACTTACCATGTCAGTTCCCAAATCAATGCACAAAATTGTTACAGTGCCGAGTGGCAGTGGAACATCGCACAAGATGAAGACCAAGAATGGTGAGATTTCGGGAATGTTTGATGTGAGGGTGTACGCAATAGATTTCTTGAGATTGTCGAAAATGAGACGTCCCTCTTCCACGCCAGTGACAATTGAAGCGAAATTATCATCCAGCAAGATCATGTCAGCAGCCTAAAGTGAGAATACCGACAAGTAAGTAATAATTACATTTCGAACATGTAAACTATCAAATCGATTTTGTGCCTTTATGAAGCGTTAACTAACATATGGAGATTCAATACATGTTATTAATTAAATTTCTAATCTCTTCATCAATAGAGAATCATTGCAAATGGTTCTCTCTTGAGCATCTCAATGCCAACAGCATATGCTGGACAGTAGGAAATATACCCAGTGGAAAATCCACCTTCGGGCACACAAATGTTTACGTGGAATTGCAAAAGAAGATTTTCACTGGAATAATTAACACACTGTATCTGCTAGCGAGCATCAGTGAAGCCCCAGTGGTCAAGGTTAGTACAGCAAACAAGAGTGGGTAAACACTAGAATTTACCTGTTTGGACACATCAGATCCAGCAATACCCATGGCTACGCCAATGTCGGCCTTCTTGAGAGCTGGGGAATCGTTGACACCATCGCCAGTCACCGCTACAATGGCACCCATTCGCTGGCACCCCTCAACAATGATCAATTTCTGCTGCGGCGATGTGCGGGCAAACACAATCTCGGTATGATAGCGCAAAATTTCGTCGAGTTGGTCCGATGACAATTCACGAAGCTCAGATCCGTGCACAACAGCGGCCTTAGCTTCACGTGGATTGACCTCGGAGACAGGGATATTGAGACGTTGAGCAATATCCTCGACGGTTTCATTGCCTTCCGAGATAATGCCCACAGACTTGGCGATGGCCTTTGCCGTAATTGGATGATCACCAGTGACCATGATGACTTTAATACCGGCCGATCGGCACTTGGCCACGGCGTCCGGCACTGCGGCTCGCGGGGGATCAATCATCGACATGAGTCCCACGAAGCGGAGATTGTCCAGGGGGAAGTTGGGATCGTCAGTGTTGAACTTGAAGCCAGTGGGGAACTTATCAGACGGCAGCAAGAAATCGCAGAAGCCCAGCACACGCTCACCAAGTCCACCCAGTTCCAGGTAGGCATTGTTGAATGCCTCCTTCATCTCCTCATCGAGAACCTTCTCCTTTCCATTGATGAAGATGCTGGAGCAGCGCTCGAGGATGCGCTCGGGAGCGCCCTTCATCACCAGAAGATATCGTGGATCACCAGAGTCCTCAGTCTCGTGAACGGATACTTGGTACTTGTTGGTGGAATTGAATGGAATCTCAGCAATCTTCTTGTTGCGCTTCCTGATGGACATCACATCACCCAGCGCCAGTTCCATACACTTGAGCAGAGCAGCCTCAGAGGCATCACCACTGACCTCCTTCTTCAGAATCGGCACACCCTCCTGGCCACCCTTGAACTCAGCCCGATTGCACAGGGTCGCGATGCGGGACAGAGCCTTGAATCCGGGACTGGTGCGGTCGTACTGCACACCCGACTGATCCTCCGTGGTGTCCGCCTCGATGATCTGATTGTCGAACCACATGTGAGCCACAGTCATTCGGTTCTGGGTGAGAGTACCGGTCTTGTCGGAGCAGATGGTGGATGTGGAACCCAGGGTCTCCACGGCCTCCAGATTCTTCACCAGGCAGTTCTTCGAAGCCATACGCTTAGCGGTGAGGGTGAGACAGACAGTGACAGTGGCCAGCAGACCTTCGGGCACATTGGCCACAATAATACCGATGAGGAAAATGACAGCGTCCAGCCAGTGGTAGCCCAAGATGAAGGCAATAACGAAGAAGGTGACACCCAGGAAAACAGCCACGCCGGTAATCAATTGGATAAAGTGATGGATCTCCTTGGCAATTGGAGTTTCGCCAGTGTCCAGACCGGAAGCCAAACCAGCAATACGACCCATCACAGTGTGATCACCGCAACTGATCACCACACCCTTAGCCGTGCCCTCCACAGCGTTTGTGGAGAAGAAAGCCAAATTCTTCGTCTCCAGCGGATTCTCATGCGTGAACTCAGGTCCTCGGGATTGGGGCTCAGATTCGCCAGTCAGAGATGAGTTGTCCACCTGAAATCATAACAAGGAATGTAAATTATTCTCCATACTTGTGCAAAAAGTCAGTATTTTTCTCATTTCATCACTCAAATCACTTCCGACAGATTCTATAGAGTGTTTGTGTGATTAAATCAAAACAATTTACGTCTCCTTGTCAATTGTAATCATTCAAATGTTCATTGCAAAATTACTCACGAGTTCTATAAATGCAATATATCTATCAATTTATTCATCTGAAATCTTTCTTGTACATCTCGTGAGTTCAGTTCATGATGATTATGTAAACTTTGGCCTAACACCAAAAATTCTCCTCTTCTTTCTCACTGTTTAAAACAGAAAATCACCGTTGAATTTATCTTGACCGCACATCTACTAATATACAAGATTTTAAAACATTTTTGCACACTACATTTATAATTAGAAATGCAACTATATTTTCTCTTATGTTACCACAGAATCTGCAGTATCTTTAAATGTTCACTTCCCCCAAAAATTTACAAACTGAGAGAGAGAGAGAGAGTGAGAAAGAGAGTTTATGCATCAATAACTTGACATCACTTAATTTCAATTCACGCTTGTGGCAACAATTTCAAATAGACACGAGGGAAAATGCGCTTGGCGGTCAGACAATTGTACGAAACTCATCTGATGAAATTAAATAATCCATTAATTGTTCCTAACATCACACTGTAGTTTCGATGCACTCTTTTTGTTTGCAATTCATCCACCTCTGTTGTCCGGAGGAAGCCCTACTAATTACTTGTAGGCATTCACTTACTACCCATGCTAATTGCGTAATTCATACAGACAAACACATATTACAGCCCAATTGTGTCAATTTTGTCAGCCATTGTGTGCGGCAGAAGAGTTATCAATATAACGTACAACTCTTCTGTATTATCCAAAGCAATAATACAAATAAAATAATTACACCATTGACGTCATCCTCGGGGAGAGACACCAGGCCAATAAACACTTTCTGACGCACCACTCAGATGCAGTTTTAATGACACCACACCACCTCTTGGGGTGGATCGGTGTTTGAATTTGTCAAATGTGTCAGAAGTGGCATTTAATTTGTCACATATAAAATCTCTCTGTCTCTCTCACTCCCGAGAATGGTAAAATGGGTCAAATGCAGCAACATTGAGCTGAATTAATCCAAGGTCGCCTCAACCGTGCACCGTAATCATTCTCCAATGATTGCTAATCAATTAAGAATTGATCCAATTTCTCATCAACATGCCCATTGAATTGCGACATAAGCGGAAAAAGTTAAGACTTCTCTCTCACTTCACCACCATCGTATTGCATAACATTCTCAAGGTGGGCAGCATTGCCATAGCGAAACAACATCTCCCAAAAATTACAGAATATTCTCGTTGAACATCATAAAAGAATTCTTCATAGGCAATAATAATGGTGTGTTATCTCACACTTCCTCGATGTGAAAATTAACCAATTCTCTCTCACTTGTGCATTACATTCAGCAAGAGTATCAAACAAATATTGCATACAACTACTTGAAATTCAGCTCCGCCCCACCCCTCAGCATTGTGACTCTCTTTCACAATGCACAACCTTCAGTAATTGCCATTTTCCACTGCACTTGAAAATTTAGATCACACTCTAAACGCAATCAAATTGGCAATAATAGTAGATAAGCACTTGTCAAGGGAATGAACCATTTGCACCTTTACGTGCACGCAAAAAAATCAATACAAGGATTTCAGGTCACCATCTTTTTTAAGGGTGTCTTTGGACTCTCTATTCATTCAACAAATGACAAATTGAGGAAAACATTGTATACAAAAATTCATATTTTCATTAAAAGAATACAAAATTTATATGAAACTTTCCTCGTCGAGAGATAAAAAAGAATATTCCATCTTGCATTCCTAATAAACTTCTTCATCTAAGTATTCCTACATTGTATTTCAGGAAACTTTTTGAAACTTCCTCAAACTATTTTTTCCGCCTTCTGTTCTCTTTTCTACAATACTTTCAAAACTATTCAGAATTTTCTCATAGCCGCCAAAGAAAGGCACACTCCATGTGAACTCAAGTCAATATCAAGAGTTTAAAAAAAATATATTATTATTATTGATTGAAAAACTTACCTTAAAGTTCCTAGCCTCAATGATGCGAACGTCAGCGGGTATTCTGTCGCCAAATTTGACTTCAACAACATCACCAAGCACTAAGTCCTCAGCACGCAGCGTGAGCTTTTCACCTTCGCGGATGACTGTAGCAAACTGGGGCACCATGTTCTTGAATGACTCCATAATTTTGGAACTCTTTGATTCCTGCAATCAATCACAAATATGGCAAAACAGCGTGAGATTCATATTTGAGCTACAGAGAGAGAGACACAATTCAACTCCCATATTCCTCTTCCAACCCAGTCGGAATGTCGAGGGAGTCATTCGCAGTGTCATACAGAAAATTAATTGTAAAGTGGGTCATGTGAGATAGGGTGAGATTGCGACGGGGGAAACAAGAAAAAAGTTATTCGCTAAGCACGAACCTGATAATATGAGAAAATGCCCGTAACTATGACTACAGCGGCAAGTACGATACCGAGATAGAGATTATCATCGGATGGCTCCTCGCTCGTGCTGGCCTGAATGGAGTAGGCGATGAAGCAGAGAATGGCTCCGATCCAGAGCAGAAGGGCGAAGCCACCGAACAAATTCTTGCAGAACTTCACCCATTCGGGCGTCTGTTTCGGCGGTGTCAATGCATTCGGTCCATCTCGCTCCAGATTCTCCTTGGCCTTAGCATGACTGAGACCCTGTGATAAGATAGAGGCGTCACAATTAGTACATAATTATCGGCTAAGCCCTTTTGGCCTTCACTTTTCTCTCTCTCAACTCACATTTTCTGGATGTGTTTGAAATCTCTGATAGAGTTCTTCGGGAGAGATTTTGTGATAATCGATATCTAATTCTTGTTTCAGATCATCCAAATTTTCTCCTTTCGCTTTCTTTGCCGCCTTCGCCATCTTGCGCCGAGACTGCAGGAAATAAAAGACACTATCAGTCACAAAAGTTCAATATTTAGAGACGATGCACATCTATTGAAAGGTTATATTAGAAGGAAGAAAGAGGATTCATTCACCGCAACCATAAATATCTCAAAATCACACCGGAATATCACTACAATACATTCACAATCACCAAAGAAGAAGAAATTCTTATAATAAAATACCTCAGAACTTCCAATGAACAATTGTTGGCTGAATTCTCCAACACACGCGACAAATTATATTGGCTTTGATCAGATGGAGAAATCCAGTGCAACTGAAAGGCCGGCGAGATTCGGAATGGCCTTTATAATGCCACTATCTTACAATTCTTCAGAGATATCTCAACACATACACTCTTAAGAAGTGCGGTTGGACGAGCAAGAGAGGATTATAAAAATATGATGACTTTGATTAAATTGATAACGTCGCGTACTGTTTTTCTTTTTCCTTCTCTCAACAATTATTTGCTTTAAAGCTCTGTCCATCACTTGACTTCAAAGAGTGCAGCAAGTGAAAACGGTCAGGAATATCTGTCAAATATTGCACAATGATTAGAAAGACGACATGCCACACAATTGTCCATTGAATAAATCCTGTCACGGAATAGAATTGCGGAAGAGGAGAAATATAATGAAATGGAAGAGGAAAGAGGTATAGAGCATAGGGATTAGATTTTTATATATTCTCCTCCTTCAATTACCACCAAACACACCATTTGAATAATTCATCAAGCTCTATATACACTGAAACATACCTTTTCCACCATTATTCAAGGCTATTATTGCTCCTTTCCGTTAATATGGATTAATGATTAGAGATATTCATTTACCCTTCTTCTCCACTCACAACGATCCTTACTCAACACTTCAATTAAAGTATTTACCAATTTATCAATGGAAAAAATTAGAATAAAATATGCAAGCAAAATTGCTTATTTTATGAGAACTTTAGAAAGCATGCTGAAACTTTTGACATCTCTTTGCAGAGAACAGATTAAAGTTATTGAATTTTCTCAATACAATCATATTACTTAATCATAACATGTTTCAGATTTGTGACGTTAAGCAAAATGACAATTTCCTAGTTTAGATTTGTGGATTAAAAGATAAAATACTCAAACTATACAAAGTAAATGTTCTTTATATAGGTTATATTGATAGAGAAAATCAAGACACTAGCCAAACATCTCCACTCATATAATTTCTCTGTTATTATACTGAATGTGAGATAATAATAAACTCTTCAGCACTTTGCGATATGTACAGCATAATTTGTTATCGCAAAAGATACCATATTTCAAAAAAATCAGAAATATCACTCAAAAACATTAAGCAATACAACTCAAGTGCTTCTCCTATTTTCTCTCAATGCAATCAACGTATGAAAGAAAAATAATGTCAAGTCAAAATGGTAACAAAAAGAGGCAAAACGTGAGAATATTTTATCATGTCAAGCTGATATTAGGAGCAAAAAACGTGCATAAAAGAAGGAATTTGTTAGTAATTCTATTTCAGTGTAACTGCAGTGACACCCCCTTTTTGTCACCCAAGTAACCACCAATCCAACTTATCTAGCCCAATTCTGTGCACTTAAAGTACGTGTGCAAAATGATATGGAGAATCTGTAGTGAATTTCGCCTTTACCTTGTACATCCCGTCCGCAGTGAGATTATCGTCTTGCATCGCCGCAACGGTTGCGACTCTGTAAGAGTCCGTCCTTCCATGCTAATGTTTTATGGTTTTACAGTATGGAATATTGTGTGTGTGTGATTTTTTTTGTGGGGAAGATGGATCACAAAAAAAACATGAAACAGAAAGAAGCACAAACACATAATTATGAAAAACAATGCTGTCAAAGAATCATCTTAAAATATAAGTTTAATACTGGTCAAAAGCAGTATAAAACGGAGTTATGTAACAAAAATCTTTTCGATGGAGAAATAAAATCCATGATTTTGGTATGATTTCTTGCATATCCCCAAAACTATGGGGAAAGGTGGTGGTTTTCTTACACGCTAAGGCAGGCAATTGGGATCAGGCGAGCAAAAAAACTGATCAAAATGCATTAAATTCTACCTAATATGTGTAGAGTACATTGTGTTGGAATGGAGGGTAAAAGTTTGCAAAACTCTTCATTTGCTCCAATTTCTATCAGCCTCTTGAGCACTGTGGCGCTCAAGCAAATCTCATCCCCAATTGGAAAAATATTCTCTCAATTACTCTATTGTCTAAACTCCACTCAAACATTCACTCATTGGCAGGAAAATTGCACTGTGGCAGGGAAAAAGTGAAATTTTCTTGTGGAAAAATCCAATTCTCCTTACATCACTGTTCGATGTTACGTAATCGAGTTGCTGATGCTTCCAGTTGATGAGCACTCAGGAGTGCCCACTTGAGCTAAAAGAGTCTCCACACACTATACCCGCAAGCTCACTGCCTTTTCGCCCTCTTTCACTGCACTTTGAGACCCCAGGGAGGGAAAAAAGTGATTTTTCACACCCAAAAAGCCAGAGAAACTTTGTTAAATGTCCAACATTCGGTCGAGACTCACTCTGCCACCAACTAACTCTGGCAAGCCCGTGGAAAAGCTCTCTCACTCTCTCGCCCTCTCCTTTTCTCTCGCGCTCTCCGGGGAAAGAAAAGCCCCTCTTGATGGAAAATTCTTGAATGTGTGGATAGGAAAATTGAATTTCAAATACCACTCGCGGTCGTCTTCCAAGAGAGAGCCACGAACTGCCACTGCCAATGTATGCACCAAGAGCTGCAGAGGGAACGTGCTGTCGGCTCTTTTGCCGAGGATTTTTCTCTAATCAATATGGAAAGTTTTAGGGGTTGAAGCTCTTCTCACGCACACACCCGCACATTATCGTGGGAAAATTCTCAATGAGAGACAGAGAGAGAGTGCGAGAAAATTCTGCACAATCGATTCTAAAGTCACATGAAAATTGTTGGCTCTCTCTCTCTCTCTCAACAGGGTGGTGGTGAATACGTTAGCTGAGATTTCTTGGAAAATCATCAGTTCAGATAACTTTTTCGCCGTTTTTCCACATCACCCTACATGTTCAGATAGATTTTCCTGGAGAGCTTTCCATGACATGCGCCCTTCATTACATTCCAGTCCCAGCCTCGTCACTTTCTCACTCACACACACCCAACTTTTCCAAATAAGAACAAAAAAATACATTTTTCCCACGATTCTCCCCACACTGTCCTAAGGCGCATGTATAAGTATATATTCAATGATTAGTGGAAAAAATTGCCACATTACTTCCCGGGAGCCTTTGAACACAGCAAATCCCTAAAATATGCATTGAAAATCCTCCAATGTCATGTTGAAAACTACCCATTATGTACTTGGAAAGTGTCACTATACACATCACAGTTTCCATTCAACACTTCCCCGGCGATCCGCACAATTCTATTGCATAATTCACGGATACCAAAGGTCATTGCGAGCAGAACCATTTTTCACAAATACACTTCCTCCCACAAACTCATTCAAAATCTCACACAAATATTTACCAAAGTCCAACAATCAATCATTGAAGAGACTACACATCGTAGAAAATTTGCAAACTTTTCCCGCTCCATTGAATCTTCTGTAAAATGCTATATTGTGAGCTTTTTAAAAGAGATGTTTAATGTGTGTGTGTTGAAAATGGTAAAAATCGTTACATTTCCTGTATCATTTTCTCCCCATTTGGAAGTTTAGCAAAATTTCTATAGCACAACACATGTGACAAAAAGCTTCCATTGACGTCGCTAGTTAATTAATTTTCACTAAAATTGTTGGAAAAACATAACTTCACAACAAAAACTACCCATTATATGAATTACATTGAAGTCAAGCAACGAGACGAAAACATTTTTCAATAAAACAGGCATTCACTCCATATGGGACATACGTTCAGGGGAATTCATCAAATATTCAATAAATCTTACGTACTTTCTGTGACGATCGTTAAATTTGTCTATTGATTTAGAGGTTAGAGCTTTTTTTGGGTAGTTTTAAACTGCCTAAATGGGTGGTTTATTTCAAGAATTAGATTTCCGTGCTATCCGGCAAACACAATCAGATCCTGTCTTCTCTGCTTGTATCACACACGGAGCGTGGTTACCACTAAAGATACAACAGAAAGAGAGAGAGAAAAAAAAAACCTCCATTAAATCCTGGGCTGCAAAATCAACAGTTCAACCATTTCATTGCTATTTAACCCCACGTCCTCCTGAGCATTTCGCCACGTCAAATAAATCAATCAAAGTAGCACATTCAACGACTCTAGGTATCATCATGACACCGGACTGTACATTATTTAAATCATCTGAAATAGCAATGAAACCCCTTTTTGTGCTTAAATCTAAAATCGCTATAAACTGCAATTGTGTTCGATACAAAGCCACTTACAGAGGGCATTATATAACACCGCTCAGCATTTGCAATGATATGTACTCAATCAATTAGACCACAATGTAAGTGCATGACACCGAGAGAGGCGTCTCATGCGCGGAAGGGTATCATGGCTTTGATTTCTCCCCTCCCCTTCGGCAGTCCATCTCCACATCATCACCATCATCATCATCGTCAGTAAAGCCCATTGCAAGTCCGTCATTGTCCCGTGAATCAGAGCCAATTGACGCAATGACTCTCACACAATTCGCCTATATATTTTCTAAAATAATTCCCTGTCGCTCAATAGAGCACAAAATTGTACCAAGTACACGAGTGTGTGATAATGTGGGTCATGTTTTTCCTGTCGCGACACACTATATTAATGCTCCCTCAATCGCTCAATTCCACAATCAATTCCTTCTTTTTCATTACGAGATCAAGTCACTTTTTGCGTGCATTTGACATTTTGAGCACAAATTTTATTTTCAGCACTATTCACACTCAAGTTCATGTGAAAATAATTGCATGTTATAGGAAATGTTAATTCCATCTAATTTGTTTCTAATCATCAATAGATCTGGAAATGCCATTTATAAACATCTGCGAGGAATTTACTTTATATCAACAAATAATAAAATTATTGCAACGCCTTTGCGAGAACAAAAATCACTTTTTGCCACATTCTCTGAACATGACATTGATTACAATATTTCTCATAGCACGTGAAATGTTGATCGGGAAAATCCCCCAGTGGGAATTCAACTAAAACTGCACAAATCCATGTTTCAAAAGCATCAACAGCAAATGTTAATTAAACCACAAAGACGTCAGTGGATTCAGTGAGAAGAAAACCACCGGATTTTACCACATTTGACATAGTCTTCTCATCTTTCAATATATTCCACAAATGTTTATAAAAAAATACCAAATAAATTTGAACATTATGCAAAACAGATAAACAAAAACAACTCTTATTTGTTTTCACAAAGTGTTTTAGATGACTCGAAATCGTCTCAATCTTTTTTTTTCTTTTGCTTGCATCACATTATATTCAGAGAGCGAGAGAGCGAATTGAGAGTGATTGTAAATCATTTTTCATGCCGTTCGCGCAATTTGAATACGCGACTCTTAAACGATACAAGTTTTTGAACATTGGGGAATTTCCATTCTACCTTCCTTCTTCTCATCTCTCTCTCTAAACCATATAACATAATATAGAGATTATATAGAATAAATAAGCTTTCAGATATGTATAAAAGTTTTGTGCACGCGGGGTTTTTGTCCTCATCAGCATTTTCAGATTCGCAAGATTGGACACAACCGCATTAAGTGACTTTAATACAATAAACTATCCTCAGAGAGTCATTAGTCATCATCTTTTCTCTCTCTCAACTCTGAGATGTTGGGGTAGGAAGGAGACAAAACATCCATTGTGACGATAATGATGATATTTTCGGAGAAAGAGGGAAGAAATAGAGGAAATCTATACATGTTCACATATATCCACATTATCACACACTATTTCACCACGAAAGTCCTCCTCTTAAGATATAAGGACTCTCTCATAGTCTCTCCCACTGAAGGAGAGAAAATCAATCGATATTCATTTCTCCTTGGAAGTAGAGAATAAAAAAAAAAACACAGAGCTTTCCACGTAAGAGCTTCTTGTCTTTTTTCGTTTCATCTCGCAATTCATCCACAATTGTCTCTTGTCTCTCATATGCATCTCGCTTCATTGAAAATTCAACCTTACGTGGTATTTAGCACAACTCTCTGCCCATTAATTGCCACTCGACAGGAAAATCGTCATCACCCTGAGTCGTGACGTAACGAAGCTCATTGGAAAATCGGGCACCGAAATGTTCACGTTTCTAATTTATAGCACACAAAATGCGACAGAAACAGAGTTCAACTATTAATAATCTGTTAAATTTCTTCTGTGTGTGCGCAAAAAAAAAACTTGTTAGTAGTCCTAATATTGGCTTTTACCAATCTGTGTGACGTTTCCCATACAATACTCTTCTATCTTTTGCAGAAATCTCCGCAAAAGCCCATCATTGGGGGGTTTTAAACTCCCACAAGGCGACAGCAAAGCAGAAGTTTTTTCTCGACGTGTGTGCGTGCTCAAATATTACCCACCGTTGCAAGATTACGAACTTTTTTTCTCCATTTTTTTCTCTGTCTCCACGTAGCAAGAGTATTTTGTGATAAATGCAAAATATAAAGAAAATACAGACGCTGTTGGAGGAGACCTACCTTGTCTGACATGTCCGTGTGCGCCTCGAAATGGGGTTGCGCAACAATATATTATTGTAAAATCCAAAAATAAATTCTAATTTGTCCTATAGTAGCTTAAAATATCGAGGCTACAATCCTAACAGACTCTCTCACTTGCTTTCCGTCACACTCGCTCGCAACCAACTCTTTCTTCTTAATTGAACGAAAGGAATTAAAAAAAAATATACACAAGACAAACTAGTAAAAAAAAATCAAATTGCAAGCAAATTTGAAGAGACGTACATTTGACGATTTTACTGAGTCCTTTTGGGATGCACAAAAGCGGAGTTCAAATCAACTGATCCTTCCTGGCCTTCTTTTTTTCTCTTCTCTTCTCACCACCAAAAACTTATCCACAGGGTGTATATCTATTGGCCTCAACACTCAACACTATTCCTCCTCCTGGTGCAGGGATTGCAACGAAAGAAGAAAGGAGGATGAGAAACTCTCTTCACCAACTGTTACACAATTTTTGCAATTAACCTCGCCACTATAATCTCATATTAGTGAGAATTTTCGTATTCACTATATTATATTTTAGCTGTACAGCCACTTGGCTGCAGTTTTTCCGTTGTCACTCGATGGGGCGTTGAGGTTCGCGCGCGAGAACCTTGGACAATATAATTCCTCTAATCCCTTCTCTCCGTCACAAGTACCGAATCCTGTGGAGCTCTGAGGATTCTTCCTCACCACCTATCCAGCTGGGGCTCAAGCCGTATATGCCTTTCACTCTACCTTCGGCAGAGATGAACCGAACTCAACTGTCAAGAACGGCGCGCGACTTGATTGTAGCAGGATCGGCGCTCGACTGACTTCGATTTTTCCACTATGGCACCAGCAAACCCAATCTCATCACCTTCATCTGTATTCGTGCCGCACACTCGCAACCCCGAAAACCTATCGTGACTCAATCGTATCAGCCTCTTGCTTGTGTAGTGGTACTTGTTGGATCCCGCACGCGAAGAAGAGATGAAAAAATTCTACGTGTATAGTGCTAAATAGTCTCCACTTCCTTTGGCCCCGCCAATGAGTTGATAACAGAGAACCCAGGGAAAAATGACAAATGCCAGCATTCATTTCAGGATCCAAATCACTCTCCCAGTGAATACATTTTGCGAAGCCACCATCATGCCTCTCACGGGGCCTCTCTCTCCCTCTCTCTTTCCTGCCAACCCAACAGAGAGCTTTCCTCCTCATCGCCGAGCTTTCGCCGCGAGAGACAGAGAAGACCAACATATTGAACGCCTGTTCTGCGCCTGAAATGACGTCACACTGCGTCACGGCGCGAATCCATTGGCGTCGTCACTCTGAGAAGACTGAGCAAATGAGAAAGGAGCTTGCCCACCCTCGCGAATGGGCCTCATAAATCAAGGAAGACGAATATTCAATTTTCAACTGGTTGCCTGCCACACACTCACAAAAGATACAATGCCCCTGTTGTTCATCTGAGAAACCCTTCAATGGCCGAAAACTTTCAGCGAGCTTTGCATCACAAACTCAAGAACTGAGGCAAATTGCGAATATTTAATTGGCATTGAAATAGACAAGGCCAAAATTTTCTCAACACTCTATTCAGCCACATGATCCACATTGAAAAAATCCGCACTGCACAGTCACAGATACAAGTGGCTTTTCATTGTAAATTCGCTACTCTTTAAAGCGCCCCGATTACATAATGGCCCGAGTTCATTCAGCAAAAATCAATAGGAGTCGAGTCAGGGCAGCCAAGAGTGGCTTCGAAAAATCCGAGCAGAAAAGAACCATTAGTGCAGTCGGGAGGGAGAGAATTAATTTGTTTTAAATACATACACTATGAGGAGTCCTTCCGTTTCCGTTTCATCTCACACTTCACACCCGTTCCAATATGCATGAGAGTGTGTCGGACAAAAAAGGCGCCTATATTCAAGATTCTCGCATTCTATCTACTCTTTACAGAGAGTTATTTCCAGAGAAAAAAACACACACGGGAAGCATCGTAAAAACAGTGCATGTGATTTTTTTTTTCTTAAATATAAAACACCCATAAATATACAGTCATGAAATCCATAAAAACATGAGAGGGCAAAATGTATGAATAATGCAAAAAAGTGAATATAATTCGATAGTCAAATCTTCCATTTTTTTTAAACAACCAAGACGTAGTATCAAAAAGTTTTTCTCTCAAAAAATCACCACATAGTGCGACACGTGAATCACCGAAAAACAGGCAAAGTGACAGAAATCAAGTCAAATAACCAGTCTTTGGAATTAATTTATCCCACAAAAAAAAACTCCGCACATTTTATCCACGGCCCAAGAAGATAAAAAGCACAATATAATCAATTTTAGAGTGATATTCGTACCGATTCACTCAAGTGGACTTTAAACGCACAACAATTGGCTCCTTCCGGGCATCTCATACAGCGATCAAATGGAGATTTTTCACTCCCATACATCCGCATTGGCAAATATTGTCCCAATGTCTTAAAGGAGAGAGAGACATGGAGATACAATGAAGCACTTTTCGCCAGACGACTGATAAAACCTTTAGTGCTGAAATTCACTTCATCGAATCCAATTCTTCTTATATGAATGCTGATGAAATTTATTCAAATTTGCCACACATTGCGGCCAAGACGCTGAGGATGTTCCATGGAAATTTCCAAGTCGGAGAAAAATGTAAGACAAATTCACTCTTGGTGATAGAGAAAACGAGCAATTGTGCGCTATATCTTTGAAATTAGGTCTTTACGGCCTCTCTTGCCTTACAACCAATTGTTCATGTCACATATTTTTTATGTTTGTTACCTTTTTATTACACTCTTGTAATTTACTACGAATGAATGAAAAGATTCTATCGACTGTTTTGGACTTTAAGACATCACAAATTTCCATTCCCTATAATGGCTAAGGTGAAACTTAAACTCTACATCTCTCTCTTAAAATCTTATCTAATCTGTAACTTTGCAATTGTAAACTTTCCGCGAATTTCAGAGCCTTGGTCTTTATTACTACAATAGAGGTAGATTGGCAATAAAGACTAACATACATTGACTCACATCCTAAGAAATACCACGTGCTTTGATGCAATTGAGTAAAATATCTCACAGAGAGTGTCTTACGGAAAATCCCGCCAAGATAGTGACTTTACAATTATTACCAGACCTTTTAATTACACCATTTTCACCGGAGATATTCGATAAATTGCCCTCCAGCAAGTATCGCAATTTCTCGGGCAATTCCGGTAAAAACAAGATAAAGAAAACCATTTTCCATCTCATATCAACAGCCCAGAGAGAAGAAATACATGTGCAATGACCATTTAAATGGCAAATATCCAGATGTCACTTGAATTTTCCGCACACTGTGTTGAATTTTGTCCAAGCGTATATAGATTAGACAATCAGTACACAGATAATCGTATCTATTCGATTGTCGAAAATTCTTATTTGCTAATAAACACAATTTAATAGTGATTGAATAAATTTTATTGTCAACCCAAATGTCAACAATGACAAGGAAAATTTGCATTTCTATTCATGTCAATTGAGGCATTTCAGTAACATTTTGTAGGACCAAAAGTGAGCTTTATTTTTGATTGAACATGTTTTTTTTTATATTAAATGAGCATTTTGCCAATCTTGTTTAGAATTCACTAGAAATCATATACATGCGACTGTTAAACTTCTTTTGGAATAACAGAGGGAAATCCCAAAGAACTCTCAACTAAATTTCTCAGCTGAATTTATGCGTATCCAATACTAGCGGAACAAGTTTTTCAAATTCCCAAATAAATTAAAGCAAGAATGGTGTGAAAGACATTTCAAGCACTCAATTGCTAAAACCAGATATAGAACCTTATAAACTCTGGATCAAATTGTTGTGAAATACACAGGTTATTTCAGAGCAAGATCTTCATCCTTTTTATCGAATTGTATCACTATTAGCACTACCTTTACAAAAATATACTTCAGTTATCTCATAAACACAAAGTTTATATAAAGTAACCTTGAGTAATTCCGCATAAAATGCAATATAAAATTCCTTGCGATAAATAACTTATTTATACATCGCCAAGCAATTGGGAAAATATCATAAGTCATTCAACAAATTCAACTTAACAACAGAGTGTGTGACTTCGATAAATGAATATTTCTTACTGCATTTTACACCCCCCGTTGTCACATATATTAATTGCAAAGTTTGCCTTTTCAAAATCATTGTGTCTCTGTAATAGTCTTTAGCACCCTATTCTCGAAGTGTGAGATTCGTGATAATTATAGATCATGGTCATTTTCGAGCAAGAACTTTTACGAGTAAATCATCTTCTTGCTTGAGAGTGATTAAAAAGAAACATTGCGCGCACTCCTCTCAAGTGTGAACATGAAACTTTATTCGCAATTTATCATTATCGATTTGACGAGACACATCTTCACGATGGCAAACTTTGCTGCTATCCACGTGATATTATATGCATCATGCTGTGAAAATGTCGATTTTTGGGATGAAATGAGCAAAGAAAAAATCTGTCAAGAATCTCCGCCTGTCGCTCTCGATATGCTGGCGTGTAAGTTTATTTTTATTACATCTTTCCCGATGGAGACGCGAAAAAATGAAATTATCAATTTGGTCTGACGTCAGATCCAGACTCATAACATGGTAATTTATTCATTAACTCCCATCTCCCCCCCCCCCCCTCTCCCTCCATCACATTTCCATCCTTTTCCCACATTCCGCTTACACCGTGCACGGCAACACACATGATTATTTGGGCCACTCGAGGATGATGTTGAGAAAATCACGTTCAATTTTTAGCACATTGATATGATTTACTATGGAGACAGATCGCCTACAAAACTCTACGAGACGTCTTTGAGATCACGACGCGTTCGCATTCTACAAAGCACGTCACTGAACGCAATTTCATAACTTTGACGTAGACAATAGTGTCGTCAGTGAACTGAAAACATGTCTAATTTCTCACTTTTCTGGTGATCTCCCGTCGCTCAGTTACTAAGTCAAAATAGACTGAAAATATTTGCACTAGATCGCTCCCGATCACCCACAGAGAGATCCTCTCCTCACCGTTCATAATCAACACTCTTGGGGCTCTTCTGGGGTGATGAAAAAAAACACTTGCCAGAACTTCACGGGTACACAGGAAGTATTTATAAAACGTTTTATAGTTGGGCTTTTTGCTTTTCATATTTCTGATGCCACTCGCAAGTGTATTGAGACTTTAAACAAAAATTTTCAACCAACAAGACACGGTTCATCTCACTCTCCACACACAGTATGTGCATTATGTACGTTATAATACATAAAGAGCATGATCTTGTGAAGCCCAAAAGCAGGAAGAAAATCCAACGAGAGTGTCTGTCTATCTCAAATGTACGCAAAAATAAGTAAACAAATATTTGAAGGAAAAAAAACCGATGTGGTTAAAAAATCGTCCACGACCATTTAAAATTATCTTTTGCAAAGTAAATAAAAATTTC